GTCGCAGCTGCTCGCAGCGCCGCTTCAACAGTGCGATACCCTCACGAGGGACGGGCAAAATATTAAACACGCCAGAAGTCCGTGCGAGCTCACGATTGCTGATCGGTAGCTGGTCACGTGGTGTTATTCGCCTCTCGTAACCCCCTGTACACTACACAACCGCTCGGCGCAAAACTCGCCCCGATCTTGTGGATTCTCGCACGAGTGGAAAATCGGCTCAAAAAAGTGAAAAAGTCGCACAGTGTACACCCGGCTTGATGGAACATGGAGTGGCTGTACAGGATACAGGCATCGGCTCGTAGTACCAATAGTAACACTGACCCTCACCAAATGCAAAACTACTGAAAAGCTGTCAAAAAAGATGTGGAGAGAAAATAAATGTCTGTGGACTCCACTTGCAAATCTCTTCCTGATTTTGGGGTCGTCTCGTTGTTGCCCCTTTTGTCCATCTGTTGTTAAGCTACGCAGATTTAAAACCCACTCTGCTTAACTGGCCACATCAATGTCTGCGTCTATTGACTTGAAAAAATTATCTGATTAAAAAGTTGCTTTTTTAACAGTGTACAGATACCCTTTGCTGTTAAATACTCACTTAGATAAAAAAGAACCGCCGGCTGCAGCAAAACCTCCCACATTACAAATTGATAAATTAATATAATCCAAAACAAAAACAAAAATTATTTTTTTGTATATAAAGCTGTTTTACGGTATACATCCCAGCAGATGTGGAACAGGACCATCCAGCTTCAAAAGCTTCACCAGTTAGTCCCACTTTCACTTTTACTTACCTCATGGACACAGCTGAAGAGCTCCCAGTCGAACACCACCAGCTGATTGGCTACTTCCTCTGCTGACATGTCATGCAGTTTACTGTCACCTGGTGTCCAGTGGATTTCCTCAGGAAGAGGAAGCTGAGGGAGCATTTAGTGACATTGTCAAAACTAAGTTTGTGTGCTAAAGATAACTATTCTCTAGGCCTGCAAGGATGATTCAGGATTTATCAGCTCTGATGTGTCATTTTAAAGAAATTTTTCAGCTATTTTGAAGTGAGTTTTTGTGTAAAACTACCATTTAGCTGCTGGATGTTAATTTCCATGTAAATAATCAGAGTTCCAACAAAGAAATAACACAATATTCCACATAAATAACTGTGCAATGTTTAAAGTGACAGTGTGTATTTTCCCTGGCAATAGGGGGCACTACACCTAAATCAGTGTAAGCAAGCATTATTTTTGTGTTCAAATAAGACTTTACCAACAGATGGCCATTAGGGTAAAAAATCCCTGGGAGTGCAACTTCTAGTAAAATAACAAGAACATCAGATTCCCTTTCATCACTGGCAACAAGTGAAGAGGTAAATGTGTAAAACAACAATGTTTATTAATGCTGAAAGTTTTATAAGCATTTGTTACAAATCAGTAAATGTATTTTGTCCTCACAGACTTCCGTAAAAGGAAACATGGCATTTAATATGGCGTCGCCCAGAGACTTAGACCCGCTCCATGTATTTTAGATCCGATTTTCATGATTATATGATATGAAACTGCCAATATTTTTCTACAACTGGGAATCTTTTAATTCATTTATTACAACATTTCTATGGATATTTTCAGAGATTAATGGTGAAAACTACACATTGTCTCTTTAAAGGACATTAGTGCACAGGCTTCTACAGTTATGTCACACGAACTGCTGGTAGATTTGGAGACAGGAGACCTTTAAAGATGACAGGAACTCATTCTTGGGCGTTTCTCAATGCCAAGGAACCTTGCCTTGATGTCTTGGCCCTGCCCAGGTTGCCTAGGAGATACGTCATCGGGAGCCGCCAAGAAGTGTTCCAATCGGTTCCAATGTTCATGTTCTACAGAGGCGTGTGTTCTCTGTTTGTTAGCCGTTTAGCTAGCTGAGCAAGGATACATGGGAGGTGTTTTGTAGCCTAGCCTTGGTCAAAAATTACCCACAATACACTGCGGTATTTTCAAAAAGACGGCGGATCAGAAGCCAGCAGCTACTTCGGGGACAATTTTCAAGTTTAAAAGTAAGTCAGCTAATTTTAAATGTTTTTTTTTTAGATTCAAAGAAGTTATCTACTGTTGGTTAGTTGCTTAGTAGTTGCAGCTTCGGTGGCTAGTGGGTAGTAACTCGCTTGTATTTTTAACTTAATAAACACATACACACAATTTAAAAAGTAAAAGGATTGAAACTAATACGTATAAGATATAACGTTCTCTCCCGTGTCACGTGACGTTACGTGACCGCCGTAGAAGCCGCGGTCACGTGATGCAAGTCTGTTCCATTTAACCGTTTTCTTTGACCAAGGAAGGACAGCGTCCTTGTAAGCAAGGCGCCTTGACATTGAGAAACACCCCTTGTTAAGGTTGTAGTTCTGGCTAGCCATTAGCTCAGACTAGACACGTGTTAGCTTAGCATAAGCATTAACTCAATTAGTTCAGGCTAAGCGTTAGTTCAGCCAAATCATCAACAGCTGAGCAATTAGCTCAGACAAACATTTTGCATAACAAACCTAAGTGACCTAAACTCTATTTCTCTAAACAGAGGCCATTCAGAAAACCAACGGGTCAGATGGGAATTATTCATACTTTGGACTCAAACACATGTCAGAATGATGAGTTGGCCCTTCAAGCAAAGCTAAAAGTTTTTGAGATGATGTTCTGATGTTGGAAAATGGACTTCTCCTGGACTTAGTTGTTCCCTGTGGTTCTAGTGTGAACATGTGACGCTGAATTCTGTTCAGGGGTGTACTAAGTGGAAGGTCCCTTTATAACAATCAGTGATTACCAATGAGTCCAGTTCTGATGGCTCGCAGGCAAAAAGGTGAGTGTTGACCCCCAGAGTGGTGAAGACGGCCTCATCGCTGGGACGGAACACTGCTTTCTCTGGAAACACCACACTATCAGTCACACACACACACACACACTCACACATGCAACAGACTCATTATAGTGAGGTACTAACCTCCGGCTGAAGTGACAGCCACCAAGATCAGGTTTCCAGGAAGGACTGGTTGGTCTTCGCTATACTGGAGCTTCTCTCGAACCAGAGCCAGAATCTCTCCAACCCGGCAGGAGAGACGGCTCCGAATGGTGACGTAGGAGTGGTCAGGGGTGTACACCCTGCAGAAAACTTTGAACACACACAAACACACAAGTGTGGTTACGTTATGCCTCCATCTAGGGGAGAAATGTGAAACTGCAGTTTCTCAATGAGGAACCTCTCAAAATGTTGTGGTAGTTGTGTTAATTTTGTTATAGATATGTGTGGGTTTTTTTGCTTTGATTGTGTGTTTGTCATTGTGGTCAAATTGGTGCGCTGGTGCTTTAGCGCTGTGTGTGTTGTAGAGGCCGGTGATGGTGTGTGCAATTGTGTTGTCATACTCTCATCAGAGCCCCTGAAGGCCTCTCTGGGCTGCAGACAAGCGTCAATCCTTCGGAAGTGTCTGAAGAGAGGGCGGACCTGCTTCTTCCTGCTCTCCTTCTCTTCATCAGATCTAAACAAACACACACACACACACACAAACTAAACACACATGCTACGATCCTCAGATGATTGGGTCTGTTGTGGGTCTTACGGGCATTGTAGGATCTCAGTCCATCTCTGCAGCTTCAGAACGTCTTCAACCAGCTCTGGATACTGAGTCAGGTCCTGAACCGCATACACATACAACTCCTACAAACACACACACACACACACACACACACACACACAAGGATGAGGAAGATAGAGAGGCTGATCTGAGTGGGAGGAAGGTTTACCTCTGAGAGAGAAATCTGCCCCCTTGTTAGGATGATTTTAGCTCACACACACACACACACACACACACACACACACTTTATGGTGTGAGTGTGTTGTGAGTCTGTGCCGTTACCTTAGCAAAGCCATTGCTGCGCTCTCCTTCCTCCTGCAGCAGCTCTCTGTAGGTATCCAGGTACCTGAACGCCACATTCAGCACTGCTTGTTTCCTCTCCACAGAGCTCATTTCCACCTCTGTCTCTCCATCCCTCTCTCTACCTCCCCCTTTCCACTCCTGTGCTGTCCCCACTTCCTTTCCTCCCCCCTTTCCCTCTAGAGTGAATCTGGATTTTTCAGTTAAAGAGGAAACCACCGGAGACCAGGACAACTTGAAATTTCACTGATAACCATGTTAGAATGTCAACTCTCTCTCACACGCACATCAGATGATTAAAGATTTTTTTATCTATACTTTCTGTGGGAAAGCCCTGTGCTGGGTATTTAAACTACAACTCCCAAAATGCCCTGAGGTCTTCATCCATCCATCCATCCATCCATCCATCCATTTACTGAACCCTCTTATCCATGCAGGGTCGCTGTGGGACCTATCTCTAGTAGTCTTCAGGGAAGCTGGCGGGGTACACCCCGAGTTTCTAGAGGGCGCTATATCAAATCCAACCCATTTACCATTACCATTTATTTGGTTTGACCCCAATCTCCCAGTCCCAGGGCAGACACCAATACCACCAGGCCACTGAGCTGGTTTCTGGCACTAACATTGAAAGGACCTATGGGGCCAAATCCAAAGCACACCTTCGTGAGTCTGACCGCTCCTCCCTGCTTCTGTGTTCGGTGTACATTTATCCTAAAGGCAACATGTTTTATTAAACAGTTAGTCTTGTGTTGTGAAGTTGTTGGTAGTTTCTTGTTTCCATTTTTTTGAAACACAAACACAAATGAGAGGTGGGGCACTGACAGCTCTGGCAGCTACAGTGGTGTTAGCTAGCAAACAGGAAAAGGGAAAACACGACCCACATATACACTACAACAGGCTGCATGTTGCCAAACTAAGGCCTATCCACCTGGCACAATCAGATAAAACACACTCAGGCGTAGCGGCGTTCTGAGGCCAGAACAACAGACTGGTTGTGTGAGTGTGGGTGAAGGATACTGCTGCAGCAAGACCTGCTGGAGCCTGTCGACTGTCAGGAAGATGGGATGTGTCAACATGAAGTCATCCAGCAGCGTCTCTGCACAAAAACACACAGAAGTTAAATGTTCAGAGTGTCCCTGAACACACCATCAAACTCAACCAACCAGCTGGGGCCAGGAGACTCCACCTGGTTTAGGTTGCAAACAAGCTCTCACACACACGCACACACACACACGTACACACACACACACACACACACACACACACACACACGCGCACACACACACACATTTTTAAGATGAAAACATTCATCAGGAGCTCAGGTATATATATATATATATATATATATATATATATATATATATATATATATATATATATATATATATATATATATAAAGGCTTTTACAGACCCTGGTAAATCTATCGAGTAAATGCAGGATTCAGCTGAGTTTGGATGTCTTTTCTACACAACTGAATCATGGATGACTCTGTCCCTCTGTGTTCAGCAGTGAAAAGATTCTTGTTTCAGAGCCGGGCCTGAGTGGTATTCATGTGCTTCAGTGGAGGTGGTAAGCCCAGTGCTGATTATATGTTCAAACGGTGACACGCAGCTGACGGAGACTCAAACCTGTGGTATTCACTAAAATATACTGTTCTGTGTGTGTGTGTGTGTGTGTGTGTGTGTGTGTGTGTGTGTGTGTGTGTGTGTGTGTGTGTGTGTGTGTGTGTGTGTGTGTGTGTGTGTTCGCACATGAAGCATGCTGCAGTGGGTGTGTCCTGTTCAGGCCCGCCTCTCTGCAGGCAACCGCCTGCACGGTTACCATGGAAACAACCAGTTGAAATGTGAGAGAGACGAAGAAGAAATCTTCGTTCTTTTGCAGCATTGAGGACAAGCTGAAGTCCAGACCAGATGTCCATACGGGACAGACATCTCTGGACAGTGAGAAATGCCATGGTTCAGCTTCTAAACCTAAAAACGAAGCTGACACAATAAGTGACTGACTGAAAGAGAAACCAGACAGAAACATTTCCAGAGCCTGCAGTCCCACAGAGTGGAACACCGTGAGGTTTAGTTCATGAACACCAGGAATTAAATTTAAAATAAACCAAAACTCAGCTTTAGACCAGTACCTGAAGCCCCTTCTGAACAAGATCCAAGCTCCAGCTCTGATACAAGACAGCCATTAGGTCTAAAACTATTCCTCAAATACCAGATCTGACCCAGGCAGAAAGTCCAGGACCAGCAAGGATAGTTTTAAGCACTTTTTTTTATCTTTTAAGAGATGCTATAAATAAATGTTTTCTTACCTTTAGATCCTCTAAAGCAGGGGTGTCAAACTCATTTTAGCTCAGGGGCCACATTGATGAAAATCTAGTCCCAAGTGGGCCAGACGGGTAAATAAATAAATAAAAAAAACTTAGATTGTTTTCATTGTTTTAATACAATCAATATAAAACAAGGCTGGAGCCTGAGGACAATATATCCAAAATAGTACAAGTACAACACCTGAAGTGTACTTGAAAATTTGAAGAAAAAAAAATTAATAAATAAAAAAACATTCCTTAGTGATTCTAAGTGCTTACAGATCACATGGCTAGATCAGTTTCATGCAGCACTTAAAGCAGGGATGTCAAATCCTGGTCCTCGAGGGCCGGTATCCAGCACGTTTTTGTTTTAACCTGCTTCAACACACCTGATTTCAATCAGCAGGTGATTAACAGGCTTCTGCAGAGCCTGATGAGCTGCTGCACAGGTGATTCAACCAGCTAATCAAGCGTGTTGAAGCAGAAAAACCACAAAACCTGCTGGTTACTGGCCCTCCAGGACCAGGATTGGACACCCCTGACTTAAAGTATATTTGACTCATTTTACTTTACAGGTGCTGGCCAGTAAATTAGAATATCATCAAAAGGTTGAAAATATTTCAGTAATTCCATTCAAAACGTGAAACTTGTACATTATATTCATGCAATGCACACAGACCAATGTATTTCCGATGTTTATTACGTTTAATTTTGATATTTATAGGTGACAACCAATGAAAACATCAAATCTGGTATCTCAGAAAATTAGAATATTCTAAAGGCCAATGAAAAAATGTTTGTTTCTCTAATGTTGGCCAACTGAAAAGAATGAACATGAAAAGAATGTGCATGTATAGCACTCAATACTTAGTCGGGGCTCCTTTTGCCTCAATAACTGCAGTAATGCGGCGTGGCATGGACTCGATCAGTCTGTGGCACTGCTCAGGTGTTATGAGAGCCCAGGTTGCTCTGATAGTCGTCTTCAGCTCCTCTGCATTGTTGGGTCTAGCGTATTGCATCCTCCGCTTCACAATACCCCATAGATTTTCTATGGGGTTAAGGTCAGGCGAGTTTGCTGGCCAATCAAGGACAGGGATACCATGGTCCTTGAACCAGGTGCTGGTGGTTTTGGCACTGTGTGCAGGTGCCAAGTCCTGTTGAAAGGTGAAGTCTGCATCCCCATAAAGTTGGTCAGCAGCAGGAAGCATGAAGTGCTCTAAAACTTCCTGGTAGACGGCTGCATTGACCCTGGACCTCAGGAAACAGAGTGGGCCAACACCGGCAGATGACATGGCACCCCACACCATCACTGACGGTGGAAACTTTACACTGGACCTCATGCAACGTGGATTCTGTGCTTCTCCGCTCTTCCTCCAGACTCTGGGTCCTTGATTTCCAAAGGAAATGCAGAACTTGCTTTCATCAGAAAACATAACTTTGGACCACTCAGCATCAGTCCAGTCCTTTTTGTCCTTGGCCCAGGCGAGACGCTTCTTGCGCTGTTTCTTGTTCAAGAGTGGCTTGACACACGGAATGCGACACCTGAATCCCATGTCTTTCATGAGTCTCCTCGTGGTGGTTCTTGAAGCGCTGACTCCAGCTGCAGTCCACTCTTTGTGGATCTCCCCCACATTTTTGAATGGGTTTGTCGTCACAATTCTCTGCAGGGTGCGGTTATCCCTAGAGCTTGTACACTTTTTTCTACCACATTTTTTCCGTCCCTTCGCCTGTCTGTTAATGTGCTTGGACACAGAGCTCTGCGAACAGCCAGCTTCTTTAGCAATCACCTTTTGTGTCTTGCCCTCCTTGTGCAAGGTGTCAATGATTGTCTTTTGGACAGCTGTTAAGTCAGAAGTCTTCCCCATGATTGTGGTGCCTTCAAAACAAGACTGAGGGACCTTTTAAAGGCCTTTGCAGGTGTTTTGAGTAAATCAGCTGATTAGAGTGGCAGCAGGTGTCTTCTATATTCAGCCTTTTCAGAATATTCTAATTTTTTGAGATACCAAATTTGGAGTTTTCATTAGTTGTCACTTATGAATATCAAATTTAAATGTAATGAACATTGGAAATACATTGGTCTGTGTGCATTGCATGAATATAATGTACAAGTTTCACGTTTTGAATGGAATTACTGAAATATTTTCAACCTTTTGATGATATTCTAATTTACTGGCCAGCACCTGTACATCTTTTAGCTTTCACCAGCGCATCAATATCAGAAGTCACATCCTGAGTGGCGGCCAACTTCAGGATGTGATTCAAGTTCTTGTGTGAGCCTTGAGCGCAGCTTTGTTTTATTTATACTCGTTACAGAGAAAACTTGCTCACAAAGATAAGTTTATTTTCACTCTACATTGTAAAGTATGAAAATAAAGTTTACACAACCATCTCGCGGGCCGGAGTTAACCCGTTTGCGGGCCGCATCCGGCCCGCGGGCCGCATGTTTGACACCCCTGCTCTAAAGGATTAGTCTATCCAAACAAACAGAGGTCAAAGTCATACAGTCAAAGCATTTTTCTAGAGGATCCTACAGAACTACAGAGAAGAACGCTGAAATCATCTGAGAAAAAACAACTGGTACATGACCATTGGCCCACCGGAAGCACTACATGAAAAACAGTCATGTATTCACATGTAGACAGGGCAGCAGAAGCTCAGGAGGTGCAGCAGGGTGTCCAGTAATCAGAAGGTTGCAGGTTCGATCACGGTTCCAGACAGAGAATTCTGTTGTTGTGTCCTTGGGCAAGACACATAACCCGCCTCGCCTGCTGGTGGTGGTCAGAGGGACCAGTGGAGCCTGTGCTCGGTAGCCTCTCCTTTGTCAGTGTGTCCCAGGGCAGCTGTGGCTACATCGTAGCTCATCACCACCAGGGTGTGAATGGATGAATGATACATTTTAGTGTGAAATGATTTGGAGTCCTCTGACACTGAAAGGCGCTACAAGTGGGGGTCATTTATCATTTTAGATTCCAAGAACCTCAAAGAGCTACAGTAATCACAAAACTGTGACCTGAAACTTTTTCACACACAGAGGCGAGACACACCTGAGTTCTGTGGATGTATCGATTCATGTCAGTTGTTTTGGGGACAAGCAGACATCTGGTTCTATGATCCAAAACAAGAATGATCATGAAGACTGTTCTCAGTTTCAGTGAAGGAGATCAAAGTCCATGGAGACCTGCAGTTGACGGTGACCTGCAGGTGATGGTGACCGGCAGCTGATGGTGACCTGCAGGTGATGGTGACCTGCAGCTGATGGTGATCTGCAGCTGACAGTGACGCGCAGCTGACGGTGACCTGCAGCTGATGTTGACCTACAGCTGACAGTGACTCGCAGCTGATGGTGACCTGCAGCTGATGGTGGCCTGCAGCTGATGGTGACCTAAAGCTGATGGTGACCTGCAGGTGATGGTGGCCTGCAGCTAATGGTGACCTGCAGTTGACGGGGACCTGCAGCTGATGGCGACCTGCAGCTGATGTTGACCTGCAGCTAATGGTGACCTGCAGTTGACGGGGACCTGCAGCTGATGGTGACCTGCAGCAGATGGCGACCTGCAGTTGATGGTGACCTACAGCTGATGTTGACCTACAGCTGACAGTGACTCGCAGCTGATGGTGACCTGCAGCTGATGGTGGCCTGCAGCTGATGGTGACCTAAAGCTGATGGTGACCTGCAGGTGATGGTGACCTGCAGCTAATGGTGACCTGCAGTTGACGGGGACCTGCAGCTGATGGTGACCTGCAGCAGATGGCGACCTGCAGTTGATGGTGACCTACAGCTGATAGTGA